TTTTTCAATAATGTTTCTCCTTCCTTTACAGAAACTCCAAAATCATGTGCAAAGCCATCCAAAAATTCCACACCTCTTCCTCCAAAGCAGTCTGCAAGGTGGCAGGTTGCAAAGGAGCTCTATCAGACAGAAAGCAACTATGTAGATATCCTGACAACCATCATCCAGGCAAGTTGGTACAAGCTGTATTTTCTGAAACTCTTTAAGAATTTGCTGCAAAACTGTATAACATCACTTTCTGCGACGATCCTTTCAAGGATTCGTGCATAAAATGGTCATGTAGCAGTCATCATCTGTGTGGCAGGGGTATTTTTATGTGTGTTTTCTGGTGAAAGTTGAAGAATAAGAGACGCAAGCTTGAAAAGACATGGGATACGATAAATCAAGTGATAATATACCTGTCGTAGGGTTGCTTTAGATCTACTAGATCCCTTGGCTAATGGAAGAGGAAGGGAGTGATTTTTCTTGATTCTTCTTGAGGTTCTTTGCTGTACCTTCGTGCTGTTTTGGGAAGCTCTCAACTCTCAGGAATTGATCTCTGAGAATTTCAGGGTGGCAATAATTGTTCCTTTTCATTAATGGAGATGTCCAGTCATCAAATATTGCTCCATGGGTGGAATGGCACCATTGGAAGCCTATCAAGATGAAGAGGATTAGGGAGTCACAGCTGATGAGTGGCTAGCATTTGCCTAGTACATATGTGTACGTTGAAACAGGCTTTTACGTGGGGTTCCTATTGGTTTCCCACCCAGACACCCAATCAGTTTTTTACAGATTCATCTTAATGCTTCAACATTAGTTGTTTTACTGGGTCTGTTTTCAGTGTGTTTAGAGACTTGGATGTCACTTTTATTTTATAGACATGCCTACTATTTCTAGTATATCCATAAGTCCTACAACAGCTTGTTTTTATTCACAAGCTGGGAGGTGGGGAGGGAATAAGACATGAGACATTGTTGATCCTTCTAGCCCAGCAATGGCGAACGTATGGCATGCGTGCTACAGCTGGCACGCGTAGCCCTTTCTGCCGGCACAGGAGCCATAAATTGCTGGATCGCTACTCCCCCCCGCAGCCAAAACTGAGACGGCTGCAATTGTGGTGCTGGTGCCCGGACAGGAGGCAGGTCAAGATCTGGAGCCGCTGGTGTTGGCAGCGGATCCGGAGTGGGGTCTCGAGGCACCTCCGTGCTTGGGATTCCCCCTTCTGCTGCCACTTCCAGGTCCGCGGCGGCGGCAGCACAACGCCTCCTGATTGTCTTTTTTACCCCCAGTTTGGGCATGCAAGCCCAAAAAGATTCGCCACCACTGACCTAGCCCATATGACCCAGGAACTTTCAGTTTATCAGTGGCTGTATATGTATAGGGCAAATATATCTACTGTAAAAACATGAATCTGCCTTGCTAAGATCAGTTCTAATTATGTTGGTCTTCACTATCTTAAAAGGTCATTTTAAAAGTTCTGTCTTCTGTATTGCTTTCTTTTTTCAGGTTTTTCAAGTGCCGTTGGAAAAAGAAGGGCAGGTTGGAGGCCCCATCCTTGCACCAGAAGAGATTAAAACCATATTTGGCAGTATTCCTGACATCCTTGATGTGCACATTAAGATAAAGGTTGTCTTTCAGATATATGCAACGTAAATCTTCTGCGCTGCTTAACTGCTGAATGTCAGCATGCTTGGGCCAGTTGATAAAGATAAGAATGAAATGAAATAAATGCCAGGTTAAACACTTAGGAGAATTATGAGAAATTCCGGTGTTATTATGTAAATCATTTAAAATGTGATGGTTTGCTTAACCTTTGGTGATCAGAGATTTTTGATTGTAAGCATTTAGGCTTAGCATTCTACAGAACACATTGTGCTTCTCCTAAGTGTGGTCCTTAGTGAACTCCCTGAAACTCATCACACGAGATATTAAATAAAACAATACTTATTTCTCTCCCAGTCTGCTTCCAAATGTGGCACCAAATTAGAGATCATTTTAGAGTTAGGGGGTGTTGGCCATTAAATATTCTTCCATTTTATGTTTTATAAGTACCTGAAGAAAATGGCAATGTGTTGTCTTTGTATTCTAGGAGGACCTTGAGGACCTTATGATAAACTGGACTGAAGGCAAAAGCATTGGTGATGTCATACTGAAATATGTAAGTTCTGTTCCCCTTACTGTGATTGATTGTTGTGACTAGTTGGTGCCATGATGACTAAACGGCCAAATGCATTCATATGCATTTCTGCAATCTCTCCAACATTTGTAAAGGGGTCTCTTGGTCATGCAGCTTCAGCTGGTTTTACAATATGCTGTTTGTCTGAGCAGTGCTGGACAACGTTGGGATGCAGTCTTTTACTATTGTCACTGCTTAGCCAGTGATGGACAACTTCTAGCCCTCTAAAGCAGTGGTCCCCAACCTTTTTGACACCGCGGACCAGTGGGAGGGGAATGGGGTCTGTGTGCAGGGGGCTGGGCACCCCTCCGTGCTTGCGCATATGCGTGAAGGGGCAGTGCTTGCTCGTGTGGGCGCATGGACACTCTCACGCATGTACAAAGGAACGGGGTGCTCGTGTGGTGTGCAGACACTTGCATGCATGAAGGGGCAGGGGGTGCTCGCAAGCGCACATACACATCGCGTGTACGTGCAAAGGGTGGGTGTGCTCAGGCATGCGCACGCATGCGCGAAGGGACTGGGTGGGTGTGCGGGGTGGAGTGTGTGCAGGAGGGCAGAAGATCTGTCTCTGCAGCCCAGTCTGGCTAAGGTCACATGGACCGGCACCGGGCCGCAGACCGGGGTTTAGGGACTCCTGCTGTAAAGCAGTGGTTCTTAACCTTTGTTACTCAGATGTTTTTGAACTGCAACTCCCAGAAACCCCAGCCAGCACAGTTGGTGGTGAAGGCTTCTGGGAGTTGCAGTCCAAAACTCCTGAGTAACCCAAGGTTAAGAACCAGTGCTCTAAAGGACCACAACTTGCATGCTCCCTTATCATTGACTGTTCCAGGGCTGGTACAGATGGGAGTTGTACTTAGATAACAAGTGAAAGGCTGTATCATTACTTTGGGTAAACTATCTTGACTTAATGGAATTAAGCACATGTATCTAGAAATATGGCAGCAGGCAAAGTTCAGCTACATATTAAGTCTCGGACATGTACTAGACTGTTGTGTAAGCTCTGCTTTTGTGCTGTTGGTTTATTCTGTGTTTTTGATCCCTCCTGAATGAAAGATTTTAAGGGCAAGAATTAACTGTTGCAATCTCTCGTGCATGATGAGTTTCTGTGGTAGTGGACTTGTGAATATTCTGTGTTTTGAGACATCAGCAACATCATGTAAACCCCACTTTTATGTCTGAGGCAGTGGACTTGTCCACAAAACCTCTCATCAAAATATACCTGTTAGTTTTTAAGATGTCATGATGTTTTTGTTTTTATTTTGCTTGAAACAGTAGGTAAATATAACATTACTTTCCTGGGACAATTTTAACTCTTACTTTGGGTGTTTATTGACTGCATACAATGAATATCCTTGCACTCTGTAAACGTTACAGCCATCAGCCTATACTGGTCCTTAGTTAACTGTGATGGCATTATAAAATGCATATTGAAACTTGCATGGTACTGTTCCTAGAAAAGGGGTATCTACCATTTCCCCACAAGGATTCCCCTCTCACTTTTGGTTGTATGGTTATATATAATAATAATATGCGGTGAAGTCAATTCAGACATACAGCAACTCTTTCCAGGCTTTCCTAGGCATAGAATGCTCAGAATGGTTTACCATTCTCATCTTCTGGGAGTACCTTGGGACCATCTAGCTTGCCCAAGGCCATACAGGCTGCCTGTTTTCTGGGAGGCAAACTGGGAAATTCAACTCTCAAACCTTAGCTCTGCAGCCAAGTGCTCCAACTGACTGAACTGTTCTTTATGATTTAGAGTCTGATAACCTATGTGTGGGCATTTTCCTTAGAAGTATCCTTCTGTCTAGTTTACTAGATTAATTTGATTTTCCTTGGCTATGCTAGTCTTAACCAAAAGAGCATTATTGGTTTAGATTATGTAAACGAGCATAGGAGCAAATGTTGCTCAAATGTTGACAGGTTTTCCTGTTAGAAAGAAATTTAGAAAAACACACACCCATGTCTTGTGCCAAGGTAAGTTTGAATGTGGTTCTGTGATGCAGCATCTGTCTTGCCTGCAGCAGGTTCGAGGCCAAGTCTCCCATGTCTCAGGTCGGAGTAGGAAAAATTCCCATCTGAAACATGGAAGGGCTGTTGCCAGTCTTAACCAAAAGAGCAGTACTTCCAAGATATACTAATGGTCTGACTTACAAGGTTGTTTAAGGTCATTTCTACTTTGTTTGTGTGTAAAAACTTTAGGCAAAGTGTTTTATTTCAATTACAGGCTAGCACTGCTCTTTCAGCATCTTTCAATGGCTAAAGCTGTTGGGCTGGCAAGAAAGGTACATTGCAGTAGCATGCACAATTGACAACAGCTTAGCAAGGAACAACTTGACCTTAAAATATCAAGCTGGCGTGGAAGAGGTTCTTGGCTGATTTAGCAGTAATTTCAGTTACTTGAGTGTTTGATTGGAGCTGCTTTCGTTTGAACAACCAATATGTTTTAATGCTGTTATTTCCTTCAGCTACATGCATCTTGTAAATGAAAATTCTGTATTTTCCAGTCAAAAGATTTGCTGAGAACATACCCTCCATTTGTAAACTTCTTCGAAATGAGCAAAGAAACTATCACTAAGTGTGAAAAACAGAAGCCAAGGTTTCATGCTTTCCTAAAGGTAATGATTTGTTCATTGACTCTCCCAGACTAATGCTATGTGCTACCTTCTTAAAGATTTGAATTTAGAAACAGACAACAATTTGGGCACCAATATGCTAAAATAAAACCTTGTCTTGTTTAACAGGGTTCAGTGTTAAAATCAGTGGTAGAGGTTTGATCTTTATTAATGCATAAGAACATGATTCTGATGCCTTTAGAACAATGTAGGCAGAAGGTACACCAGGGTTTACTGGCAGAGCACCGGATGATTTACAGTAGATTGGCAAATGTTTCTCACCCCCACCAGTGGCAATAACAAAAGATTAGGGGTTTTTTTTTCCTAATTTAGGTAGTTATGATTTTTAGTTTATTGTAATTGAGATGTATATCTGTATTTAAAAAATATTCCATAGTGTGGCTTTTGCGGTGTAATAAATAGATAACTAAACCCCTGAGGCCCCATCTCACATCTAGTTTATCCCTTATCTTCTGCTAGGCTGCGCTGGGTGGATTCTAGTGTTAACAGCATAGCAAAGTAGAACTTCTAAGCCTGAAATCTGTAAGACTGCAGTTACTTGAGAACATGATTGTAGTTTGATAGTCCAGGGAAACAATTATTTTGTCGGATATTAAGCTGAATTTATCTTTTATTATGAGACTATCTTTGATCTAATGCAGGGATGTGCACCTTCTGGTCTTCCATGTGTTGTAAATAGTTTTCCTTTTCTGTTGAGTATGCTGGTTAGGGATGAAGATGAAGTGTATTCTATCAGGTTAGAGCAGTGGTTCCCAACCTTGGGTTCCCAGAAGTCCTGGCCAGCATAGCTAGTGGTGAACATAGAGATGTCTGTTCCATGGGGCTGGTGAAGATCAAAATTGATGGTACTGGTCATATTGGTTCTAATACTGGTCATACTGCACTCTGAAGTACATTGAGCCATACAAATGTTGGTACCTGAGCTAGCTGAGAAGATGACTGATGTTTTTTTAATTTTTAATTAAATGGATTGATTAGTCTTAGTGTTCCGTTTCTCTCGTCTCGAAATATTTTAAAAAGTTGTAAAGGGGATGTGGCAGGACCTCTGCAGCTGTTATCCTTGATAAAGAATGGGAATAAGCAGTGGTGCTGAGTGCTTGTCCTCCAGGCTATTGATTTTGTCCTTTAAATTCCCTACGGCATCCATTAGCAAGCTACTAGCAGCTGAAGAGAACATGTCTGGATTGTGAGTGTTCAAAGCTTAATTCAGTCACCTATAAATATGAGAACAAACTTTAAAAAATAAAAAACCTGTCACTTAGCAGTGACAAGGACTAAGATGTTCAAGCCCAAGTTTTATTGTTTAAATAATGCCACTAATTTTCTTTCAACAGATAAATCAAGCTAAACCAGAATGTGGGCGCCAAAGTTTGGCAGAACTCCTCATCCGCCCTGTTCAGAGGCTGCCTAGTGTTGCCCTTCTTCTAAATGGTAGGTATGTAGGTGTGTTTATTGAGTTGATTTAAAAAAAATTCACTAACTTCTGTAGATAAAATTATTTGAGATCTTACTCAAGCTGCTTCCATTGGGGAGAGCCAAACAAATTACAAGAAATTTTATGCCATTTGGAAAAGATTCTTATAAGGGTGGAGAGTATTTCAGTATTGTGACCTACATCAAATTGCTATTTATTTTATTTATTTTATTTATATCCCGCCTATCTGGTCGGGTCAGGACCACTCTAGGCGGCTAGACTGCTAAAATAAAGGCAATGGCTAAAACCCCGCTGTTTACTGTAGTAAATGGCAACTACAGTAGGCCAGTTGACTCTGTGGGGATTTGGTGAATCAGCGCCTCCATAAGTTCCATTAGTTCTGCCGACTTACTGTAATTGTGACTTAGTAGGCTTACTAACAGGATTTCAGCCATTGATTCAATTACTGAATAGTGAATTGACACTTATGTGACCTCCACTGATTCAGTGAGTCTAATCTAGTTGTAAATCACAATTGGTTCTAGACCCGTTCTTGTTTTAAGTTCCCAGAGGGTAGGCAACCTTTTTATGGTGGTATACTTTTGGCCTAAAACCACCCAGTGTAAAAGAAGAAGCAAAATGGAATGTCACTTTGGACAGTTTTTAAAAAGTATCGTGCAACTTTTAAAATTCATTGTTAGTATATTAGAAATATAGTCTTTTACATGCAATTATAGCTATAATTTCTCCATCAAGCTGGATTAATGCATTTGATTTGTATGCCGCCCATCTGGCTACCAAAGCCACTCTGGGTGGTTTACAAAACAACAAAAAACAAAAACAGACAATAATCAACAACAATAACTTAAAAAATAAAAATACACATCAAAATAATATAAAAGGATAAATATATACTAAACATTAGAAACTATAAACTTTAAAATAAAACACAAAAACAAAAACGATAACATTTAATAAAATTACATGAGCTAATAACATGGGGAATGAACATATTTTTGTTACGCTATCGACAGAACTCAATATTTATTTCCTACAGTGAATACATTTTCCCCTTACAGAACACAGTTTCCTCAGAAAGGCATGCTTCAGCAACTGGGCTTGCAGATTAGGTTATATTTATCCTCCAATGAACAGTCACAGAACAAAGCTTACTGGAACAAAACACAGGAAGCTAACGAAAGCACATGCTGTAGTAAGCAGGCATCTTGCCTTACCTGAGAGAGTCCCTCTCCTAAAAATATGCTACATGTGCTCTCTAATTTGTCCTACTGGGAACTCTTTTTAATGTATCTGGAGGCTCACAAGAATGGCATGCAACAATACAGCCATCTACATCATCCAATCCTCCGAGGCATGCTCCTTCATCCTATGGAGGTTATATTGAGTGTTTAATGTCTAATGCCATTATGGCATTTATATAGTGATCCAAGCTGATGGTTAGCAGAAGACACAACTGGCTACAGGGAAAAAAGATGTGAACTTGCTCTTGTCTCTACTTAGGTTCTCTACTTAGGTTCCTCCTAGCCTTTGAGCCTGTGTTTGTGTAATAGACTAGTCCCTACTATACATCCTCTAGCCATCTTAATTTTGGTCCCTCAGAACAGGCTTAGAAACATGTCTGAAAGTTGTAGACCTTTCGCAAAACTTTAAATGTCGTTTATCAGGTTTCTTTGTGGAAATTATGTAAATTACAATGATTCATCTGTGAAACTAGTCTATACTTCCAGATCTTTTCTTGGCCATGAAACTAATTTTTTAAAAAAATATATTTTTAAGAATATATTTTTTAAATTTAAGAATAAACAGAAAGTACAGTGGTGCCTCGCTTAGCGATCGCTCTGTTGAGCAATGAAATCGCTTAGCAACGGGGTTAAAGTGATTGCAAAAACAATCGCATAGCGATGGTCCCTATGGGGAAAATCACTTTGCGATGATCGCAGGGAAGCGAT